CAGGCGCATTACTGCCTGCGCTGCCGTGCCATAACCAACATTCATGGACGCTGACCCCCATCGCGTTACTGAGCATGGCATTTATTCTTCCGGCAGACACAGGGCCAGTCCATGGTTAAAATGAATACAGCACAGGGCAGGGATCTACTGAACCCCTGAGTAAGCTCACGTGCTCCTACCAAGGGCTGCGTCGGAGGGGCTGGGCTTTAGACGCAGCCTTGCAGGCTGCAAGCAGAGTCGCCTTTTGCTGCCAGCACGTTCGCTGCGGTCTTTTTATGGTGGTGTTTAAATTGCAGCATCTAAGTATTTGTACCAAGAAACCTCTGAACTGACACCAAGAGCACGTGGTGTCCCGTTAACATATATAAATTAAAATATTAAATCCACACAAAATGCAGCTTAACATAAAAAAATAAATATATAAATTAAATGCAAAATAAACCCTTTCCCTAGAACCTCCTTTTTAGTCTTAGGAACAGGTTTCTAAGCAGCGTTTTCTTCATGTTAGCTGCCAGAGAACTAGCACTGAGCCTGAAGTGCCCCAGGCAAGCACACACAGGGTCCTAGGATGCTCGTTATGGAGCCAGCCCTCGGCTCGGGGCCCAGCACAGTGGGTGACACAGCAGATGGGACTACCCTTGAATTGCGCATCAGGCCTTGCAGTGTTGCTTCCTGCAATCTCACCTTGCCTTCCCCAGAGCACACCCTGCCACCACCCCCTCCGTCCTACAGAGAGGCAAAGCCACCTTTGTCATTGGCCCCTCCTGCGATGCTCTCAGAAGCGGGGAAGGCCGGCGAGCGCGGCCGCACGCCCAGGGTAGGAGGGCTGGCACCGGGCCGCGCGCTGCAAGGTGTGCACAGCCCCTCTGCTACGCCGGCTGGAGAGCCCGCGTGTCCCTGCCATGGGCGTGGAGCTAAGAGCAACTACACTTACTTACTGAACTACGTCCCCCGAGTGTTTTCGGAACGGGGGGGGGTGTCTCTTTCCTCACTGCACAGGTTCCATTCCCCACATCCTGGACGCTCAGGGGGACAACAAAAAGCTTGAACACAGCTGAGAGGCTTGGACCACCGGCACAGCGGCAGCGAGGAACTGGCTGCTGCTGGCAGAGCTGGCGCACGTCAGCCTCCCCGGCCAGACGCCAGCCCCTCGGCGTGGCTGCGGGCTCCTCTGCGCTCAAGAAAGGCTTTGGTTTGCAAGGACAGGGAGATTTCTCGTACATCTTAGGCCAATGGCGGCCAGGGTTATTTCAGCCCTTCGGCCTTAGCGGGGGCTGTAGTTGTGCGTTTGGATGCTCTGTGTGTGACTGTTCAGGCAACAGCCCCACCGCGCCTCCCACTGTCGCTGCCGATGCGCAGGAGGAAGCCGGCCGCTCTGTGTGCGCAAAGCTCAAGTTAGCGGGTTAGGAATGTGGTCTTCATAGCAAAGAACGGGCTGAACCCTCCCCTCCCACTGCTGCACCCCCCCATGTCCCTTCAGCATAGTGAGCCGGCGTTGCAGGATGTCACAGCCAAAC